ACATACACATACACACACACACACACATACACACACACACACACACACACACACACACACACACACACACACACACAATCCTTCCTGTCACTCACATTCCACTTGAAAACAAAAGTTAATTCAAAGAATAACAATTATTTTAAAAAACCCACTTCCCCCACCTACCCCCAAAATAAACAACGAAGAAAAATATATAGGCCTACCCCCCTCCCTATAAGCAATCAAAAACAAACAAAGAAAAAGAAACAATAACATAAAAACCCACCTCACACTCAATCATAAATACGGGTCAAAACCCAACATTAAAAAACCACTAAACAAACAAAACACAAAAAAGAAGAAAAAAAACACCCAAATCACCCAGCTTCTAGAAACATTTCAGCAAAGTATTATTATGAGCATTCACGAATCAACAAAAATCTTCAAGAAGTGAAAACGGAAAGTTTAAAAAAAAAGAACCCACATCAAATCACTGTATAAAACATACACTTTATATCACCAGAGATGATTTTACAGAGTTAAAATACACTCTCCTAGAGAGCTTACCTGATACGTATCTGTGTTCGACAACCGGCCGCCTTCCACCAGCAACATAATGGAAAAATCTGAAAGAGAAAAAGAAGTCCACAAAAACTCATTGATTATTTTTGCTTTCTTATAATTGTATTTTTAATATCAAAGAAATTCACGAAAAATCATAGCGCAAATAGTTCAAACACATTACTATTGTTTTGCTTATTTACTTCGCCTTTAAAAAAAATGGTGCGGGTGATTGGAGGACACATAAAATGGTAGGCCTACTTCTTATTGGAGGTGTTGCAGTAGGTCTGTTCGGACGTTGAAACAATAGGAAACCCATTAACAAAAATGATACATCATAACAACACGTGTCTTCTCACGTTCCTGTTTTTTGGTTTCAGATTTTCAAATTTTCAACACCCTCTGAAAACCATGAATGTCTGTCACCACCATGAATGTGACATCATGAAAAACCCCCCCCCCCCCCCCCCAAAAATAAATAAATAAAAATAAATAAATAAATAAATAAATACATAAATAAAAAATTATTTTCTGTCCCTGCGACGTGACTTCCGGGAAGTGAAGTGTGATTAAATGTTCTTCCCAGTCGGGAACTGTCCTAGACTCTTTTTTTTTTTTTTTATAGTAGAGGGTTTTACGGCGCTCCCAGTTCTAGACTTTGTCAACTATTAAGGTAAAAGGTCTCAAAAATATGTTTTCATTATAATAATTGCGACAAAATTTAGGTTGGTAAACTTTACAAACTTACAAGTAAATACATTTTGTTAGTAATGATTTTGACAAAATGTAAGAAAGTAAAGCTACAGTACGTAAACAAATGGATCTACTCAGCAGTTAAAAACGCACCAATTACTTCAGCAATACAAACTAGTTGCACTCACCGACCTACTTTGGGCGCAAAATAATTTTTAAAAATTCAAAGCATAAAATAAACCTAAAACTGAAAAAGAATGGAAAAATGCGCGCAGGTTCACTGTTTCGCATGAAAGCAGAAACGTATCCTTTAAACTGAACCTTCATTAACTCTATTGTTTCCACGACTACCATTGTTACATGTTTTCAATATGTACTTCAACTGCTGTGTCCTTTTTTTTATAGGTCACAATAGAATCCATCACGCTAAAACAATTTTGTAATAACAAACCTGCAAAACAATCTTTTCTTTAAAATAGAAGGCATTTCTCGATGGATCAAAGTACGAATAGCCACCATCGGCTCTGTGTAAAGTTTGTTAATGTCTTTTAAGTGAGCTATAAAACATAGAAATTAACGCCTACAAGAGGTGAATTCATGTTCAGTTTAGTTTTAGTAGAGGTTTCACAGCGCTCGCAACTGCATAAGGTCATATGAGCGCCAGAAGATTAGAGGTGTTACAAGAGAGTAACAAACTTAAAAAAGAAGAAGGGTAGATAAGGACGATAGATGTTTGATAGGAAAGAAGAAGCAAACCACACCAGAGCACCCGCCAACCACAACTAATTCATGTTCAGAATATTATATAATTGGATGAATAGATAGTGGAGATTTGCACACGAACACGCACACACATACGCACACACGCGCACACGCATGCACATACACACACGCACACATACGCGCGCGCGCGCGCACACACACACACACACACACACACACACACACACACACACACACACACACTCACACACACATGGGTACGCATAATAAATTATACATTCTCCGTTTTACATAAATACAATGTCAAAACAAGGAAAGAGATGTAGAAACATAAAGATTAATGATGGACAGATAGATTGATCGATCAAAAGATCGATCGGCAGACAGACAGACCGACCGACAGACCGACCGACAGACCGACAGACAGACAGACAGACAGACAGACAGACAGACAGACAGACAGACAGACAGACAGACAGACAGACAGACTACCGAAAGAAATAAAGTCAGCAACCCTAACTGAAAATAGAGACAGAACATTCACCATAAGAAGCACTTTATCGTCGCGTTCTGTGGCCATATAACTATGATACTGCTCAATGCTTCGTATTCAAATAAAAAGGATTGGGCGTCTGGGCGAGACAGATAGGCATGTGCTCCATAAAAATAAGATTGGTCAGAGAAGGTTGGTGAATTGCAAGTGGTTTAGCAATCATCAGTGCGCTTATTATTAACGGCTCGGCTGAAAGAACCCAAGAAAGGTTTCAATTTCTTTTCAAGGCAGGTGATCTCGTCATTTAGAAGTGTTGCGGTAGATAAACAGGCACCCTTTTAAATATCGTTTGAGATTCTCTTGAAGAACCAGCAAAATAAATAATATCTTTCTCTTTTATCACCCCTCCTCTCTCTCTCTCTCTCTCTCTCTCTCTCTCTCTCTCTCTCTTTCTCTTTCTCTCTCTTTTTCTTTCTCTCTCTTTCTCTTTCTCTCTCTCTCTGCACCACCACCACCCCCTCTCTTTCTTTCTTTCTTTCTTTCTTTCTCTCTCTCTCTCTCTCTCTCTCTCTCTCTTTCTCTCTGTGTGCCTTTCTCCTCCTTTTCTCTCTCACCCTGTCTTTCGCTTCCTCCCCTCCCCTACACTGTCAAAGATACACGAACAAAACACAAAAACACACACACAAAACACACACGCAAACATACCCTCTTTCTCTCTTTCTCTCTATTTCTCTCTATCGCTCTCTATCTCTCTCTCTCTCTCTCTCTCTCTCTCTCTCTCTATCTATCTCTCACATACACACACACATCAATATACATCCACAACCACACACCCGATCACACATACGGACATAATCACATCCTCAATATAATTAAACAAAGAGAACAACAGAATCAGCAACAACAACAACGCACTCTCCCAATCCAGTAATTTTTGCCCCACAATAATATAAAGAAGGTGCCTTTTCCAGTATTCAAGAATCTAAGATCACACGGTCCCTCAGACCCGAAAACAAGAAAAAACAAAGCCAAAAAGTAGAGTTCTTCTTGTAAACGCACTCGACGAGACGTCTCCTCTGTTATTTTTTATGGCACGGCCCAGCAACTCCCCAAGGGGAGGAAGCCAAGGAAAATGACACGGATCCCAACGAGAGAGTCTCATTCCTCAGTGAAATTACAAGGAGGTGGGCAGGCCGGCCACTGTTAAAGCCCTCCGATCTCATGGGGAATTTTCAAAAGAAATACCACCACGAGAGTGCGTACTTTCCATTAAATGATGGCGTTAAAAGCTATAACATTTCCCTCGATTTACAATTTGTGATAGGAAGATTTTTTTTTCTTTTACAAAACGGATCTAAGGCATCTGGCACAGCTCTGAACTACCACGCTGCTCTTGAACGTCTAAGAGTTGTGGAGTACTGAAAAGACAGCTTCAGAAATATAGAACATACGAAGAAGAGGAATAAGTTTGCTTACACTTGGCAACAAAAATAATATGCATAATTGAAATATGAGAATACAAATAGGGGATACATCATTCGCACTGACGTTTCGTAATAATGTATGCGTCAAAATGCATACAATGCATTCGACAAATCTTTCCACACGCACATTTGATCTAAAAAAGCAAATATCAGCAGACGATTTTCAAAATGTCGATGAGGCAGTATTTTTGATAAAGACAAAAGTCTGTCATAATTTGTTTGTAGGTGTGCATTTGGTGGACATTACAATTTGCAACTAAAATACAACTTTAAAATGAGTTGCGTGGCCTTCTTTACTCTCCAAACGTTCTGATGACTTAAAACTACATGATGGATTCCAAAACTTGGTCAGTACTATCCTTTCCTGGTAAGATTGTCCGAGTCCAGTATTTTGGACATGAGCCCGATTCCCAGCAATTGATTATGGAAACTAAAAAAATCCCCCCCCCCCCAAAAGAAAAACAAAACAAAAAAAACCCCCCCCCCCCAACAAGAAAAACAAAACAAAAAAAACAACAACAAACAAACATAATAAGGATGAAGATTGCAAAATTCTCCAGCAAGTGCTACATTTGAGTACTCACTGGAGGTAAACACTCCGGTACTCGATGAGAATCGAGTACTTGTACACCCCTAATTCGTGAATCCCATCTATAGCCTTTTGAAGGCAGGAGATTAGGGTCAGGACCCGTTTGGCGGGGCAGAAGGTCACATCTCGCACGGCCGGAAATTGATACCACAGTCTGGCCACAGTGGAGGAAACATCTTGACAGTAAAGCCGGACACCCTGCCATGCCCAAGAACATTGTGGCTGTTTTGAAAAAAAAGGGGGCTTGAGGGGGAGCTAAAATATGGCTAGCCAATAGTCTCAATGATGCCCATTATCGTATCTAAAAGGAAGCATTCATGAGCACGTTCCCTCACTAGATGCACAATAGTTGAATATAATTATAATATATATATATGATTTTATTTAACTTTGTAGTCGACACAATTTCGATCATTTGGGAGGCGAGCTTCGACCCTATCTGTCAGGGTCAACCCTGTCTGGGAGGGATAGAATCTATACCATTCCAGCAGAAAGATCGAAATACTTTTTTTTAAAGATGAAAATTCCTGAAACGCCCGAGCGCGAGTCGCTGTATGGTAGTCAGGATAAGGATCCGACGAGTGTGACAACCTGGCTTGGGAAACGTGGAGACCTAGATCTACGCTAAAGTAAAGATATTATTCAAAACCGTTTTGGAGCTTGCAATTACAAAAGGGACAAACAGGTTAAAAAGGGGGGAGGAACTGATTCAGTATCAAAGTATTATCAAACGGGCTCAGAACGATTTACGTTTTCATTATGACAATATGGTATAGTATAAAACCCAAAATTTGCAAGGGTATCATGGGACAGCTACCCGCCGCCTATATAAAAACAGGAGCAAAAAAATCATATTCAGAAAATAGTCCATTACTGTGTGTCAACGAGGACTGGTCTTCATGTTGATATAATCTCGGTCACTGCTTATATCATCTAGACAAATCATAGAAAAAAAGAAAACCAGTGTGTGTGTGTGCGTGTGTGTGTGTGTGTGTGTGTGTG